GAACTAAAAGTATTATTTTTGGCAGGGGAGCATGCGCCATGGTGCACATCTTGGGAGTACGAGTTCTGAAGTTCTGATCTCCAGCTCAGATTATCAGGTTGGCAAGGCTATCACCTGCTAAGCAGTCTCGCTGTCCCTGGAAGGTTCAGCTTTTTCAGAACTTTGGAAATTAAGCTGGTTGTGGTTGCTCATACCTGTAATCCCAGCACGCACGAGGCCTGGACAGAAAAACTGTTACACATTCAGGCAAGCCTGAGCTACACAGTGAATTCTAAGCCAACCTGGGATAAAAAGTGAGACTGTGTCTCAAAAATGAAAACAAAACAAATGATAAAAGCACAATGTTTGGAAAATAGCCAAAGTTTTGCACCCGTGAGTGCTCATGCAAGGAAAATGGCAGGTCTTAATAAGAACAGGGAGTTTTGGGGTATTTTAACTTATCCTTTCCAGCTTCCTTCCTCCCGAGTCCTGTAGGAGCCTTGAAAAGCAACATCCTGCAGCAGATGCAATGAGAGCCAGCAGCTTGACGGCCACGAGAAGCCCAGAGAGGGTTCTGGGTTCCTCCACAGACACATGCACAGCCAACTCGTTATTTGGCAGATGCACTAAATCGCACTTAAGGCAACCATAAGGGTTTCAGTGTTCATTGCAAGGACCCCTGAACTAGTTTTTCACCAAACCAGCAGAGTCACCTGCCACCTTTCTATTTTCAACTCCATGTTGTTTGCCTTGGAAAACAGCACTAAGTTACTAACCCCCAGCTCTGAAGTATTTTGGCAAATGGTGGCAATGTAGACTGACCACAGACATCCACCTAATTTCCAATAGCAACACAGCAATGCTGTTTAAGAGTGGAGCTGCCTTCTTCTTACCGTAAGGACAGCAACAGAAGCACAGACTGAACAGAGTGGAACCCAGCCTTGCTGGCAGAGTTGCTCCAGAAGAATGCAAAGTTCAGTAACCACGCCAGTGCCTAAGTAACTCTTCCCAACCCAACTCAGAGTCATGCCAATTCATGCCAACAGCCCTACTGCCTACCCACCCATCCAAATACTGCATGCCAAAGAAGGAGAGCACGGAAGTCTGAAAAAGAGAAGGCTATCTTTACTTGATCAGACTTGCAGCTTGTGGAGAACAGATTTTGCTTGGGAACTGTGGGGAGCAGAGGAAGTCCTGGATGAATGTGTGGGTTGACATGGGGCACAGCCGTGTCAATGACCCCATAGCCCCAGACCTGTGGTGAAATGGCAAAGTCTTCCCCATCCCTGCTCAGAAGAACAACAAAGCCTTTGCTGGTCCACGTGCAGGTGTTTATAGTGTATGCAGAAAATGTGTGTCGGAGATACCACCTGAAGAGTGCTCCCCTGCAGAGAATGCCACTACTGAGATCAGCTAAGCCTGCCCCTTTGATGAGTGAGTTACATACCATAAGCCCTGCTCTCTTGCTTATCTGTGTCTGATAGTCCGCCTCCTTGTTCAGGTGTACACAATACACCCGCCTCTCTGTTCACCTGGAGATAATAAGCACCTGAGACTCTTCATTAGAGAACCCAGTCTACCAGATCCTAGATTTTCTGGAGGTCTGTTTGTCTTCTCTTCATCCCCTTCCTGACCTGGGGCCATGCTGGACATGGCAGGGGCATTTGTCTGACCAGTGAGAGGTAACTGTTGTGTGGTGGCCGATAACAGCCGAGGCAGAAGAGAAGCTAGCTCACATGCTTACAAGGACATGTTACGGAGTGTGCTATCTGCAATGGGGCTTTGGAAAGCCCTGAGGCGTTCCTGGAAATCTAGAAATACACATAATTAGGTATGTGTATGCTCAAGGCTGTGTCAGGAAAGACCAGAGGAGTTCTTATTTTCTCACCATTGATTAAACTTCAGGCTCTATCCTGGCAGGAAGTGAAGTACTATTATAAACTGCCTGGCTAAAGGCTGAAAGCATGCCTCAACAAGTACCGGGCCCTTTGGCAAAGACTGAGAAACTTATTGGTTCTGGGCATTTAAGGAAATCTCAATGAAATAAGTCGTTGACCACCAAGCTGCCAAGCAGATTTTAGTGGGTATAAGCTTGAAATAATATAGAATGTTCAAAACATCTCATGACAGGAAAATATGGATCCCACATAATAAATAAAAACATTAACCACGTATATGGTGGCCAGGACTTTAATTCCAACACCTGGGAGCTAGAGGCAGGAGGATCTCTGATTTTGAGGCCAGCCTGGTTTACAGATGGAGTTCCAGGATAGTCGGGGCTACATAGGAAAACCCTGCCTCAAAAATAAATAAATAAATAAAATGTTTGCCAAGTTTGTCTAAATTTACTAGACAAGGACTCTGTACTATGGTTTGGATATCCAATGTCCCTCAAAGGCCAGTGTAAGAAAGGCTCAGCCTACAGAATGAGGTAAATTGAGAGGAAGGTGCTCCCATCCTTAGGGGCACGTTCCCAAAGCAGAGTGGAGTCCCAGCCTCTTCCTTTCCTGCTCTTTGGTATCCCCTCCATTAGGTGAATGGGTTTACTCTGTCACAAGCTCACGCTGAGACGTGCCTAGGAACTGACGAGCAATGGGTTCCCCGATCTTGGACTGAAACTTGGACCAGGAAGAAGATTCGGCAAGCAAAGGCTACTTGCCACCAAGCCTGACCTTCTGAGCTCAGTTCCCAGAACCCACATGGTAGAAGCAGAGAACAGACTCCTGCAAGCTGTCACCTGATCGGGACACACGAGCGTGGTTCCTGGGCCTCCCCCAAATAAAAATTAAAAAAATAAAATAAAATATCGGCTTTGAAAAATACAGATGAAAATCAAAAGAACATTTGCCAATAGGTGTCAGTGGACAGAAGAAAGCAAGCTTTGGATGCCCAAATCAGACTAGACAGTCTAAGGAACAATAAAAAAAAATTAAGTCACAAAAAGAACCTCAAACGTCTGTGGGGTCATCAAATGCCACAGACGGTGAGGAAAAAAAAGGGTCAGAAAGAATTGCTGAAAACACTCAAAAAATGCTAAAAAGGCACAAACTTTCTTCACATTCAAGAAGTTCAACAAATTTTAAGTGAGAAAACATGCAGGGGCGCTGCACGCGCGCCCTAACCAGAACAGTGTCGGAAAGAAAGATAGACCCTGACTGCCGGCTGCTGGCGCACACCTTTAGTCCCAGCGCTCGGAGCTGAGGCAGCCTGATCTCCGAGTTCAAGGCCAGCCTGGTCTACAGACTGAGTTCCAGGACAGCCAAGGCTACAGAGAGAAACCCTGTCTCAAAAAACCAAACAAACCAAACCAAATCAAACCAAAAGATGTTAAAATGCTGGGGCTAGACTGAAGGCTCATCCACTAGGAGAACTGGCTGCACCACGTGACAGTTTATAGCCAGTGTAACTCCAGCTCTAAGGGATGCCAAGTTCTCTTCTGGCCTCCACAGGCACTGCACGTGGGGGGGGACACTTCAAAATGAGAAGAGATTCTACTACCGCCCAGATTTGCCTCAACTACTCCATACAGCCACATCTCACCGGCAAAGACAGGCCACGGTGTTGCTACCGTTAATTCTAAAGAAAACACAACTAGTTACCTTTCTGGAACCATGGAATCCCTTGTCAACTCTGCTTAGAATCTGTTCAGTTTTTAAATGATAGGTGACAGATAAATAGACACACACACAGACTGACAGATAGCTTCCTCACGAAGTCTCTCAAACACTAGCAGTAGTTTCTTGGAGTTGCTTTCTGTCCCATTATCCTATTACGTCACTTTCTGACGTAAACGTAATCACTGACTTATGACCCGTCTGCCCCTCAACCCTAAAATAAAAATCCTGTCAAGAGAAAGACTGCGCATCTCCATATGACTAAGACAGGGTTGCACGCGTTTTTGTTTTCAACATGGTACGTGCTGTTGGCGTTTCCGTTAAATATCTGATGGGCAATAAACACAGATTTAAAAAAAAATTGTCCATCCGTCCGTGTCCCGCCCCCTCCCCCCCCCCCGAAAAAAAATATTCCATGCCGTGCAGACTCCAACCTAGGGCTTCCCAGCGGGCTACACCAACAGACCACAGGGTTTCTCACTGGCCCGGAACTTGCCAAGTAGGCTAGCTGGTGGACACTCGTGGTTCCAGACAGGAGTTCTCTGTATGGCCCTGGCTGTCCTGGAACTCACAGAGCTCCATCCGCCTCCTCGTGCTGAGATTAGAGGCGTGCGCCACCCCTGCCGGCTGGAATTGAACTCTTTATGGCCAAACCCCTCATCCTGGTGCATACATCACACACCGGACAGGGGTTACGGCCAGCGATGCTTCTGCCAAATGTCAAGACAAATAGCAGGGCTGGAGAGATGGCTCACTGGTTAAGAACACGGCTCTTCCAAAGGACCCGGGTTCAACTCCCGGCACCCACACGGCAGCTCACCCTGCCCTGACGCCGCCACGCGAAGGCACATAAAATAACACCATAAACAGCCTCCTGTTGGAGCGCTGAGAGCCCGTGTAAGCTGCTTCGGGCACCAGCCGCAGCCCCGAGGCCCCGCTCGTTCCGCTCCCCTCTCTCTCCTTCAGCGGGAGAGAACCTCGTCCGCGCGGCCGCGGCCGAGCACGTGGCGGCCGTGTGTACGGCGCCCGCCCGGGCTTCCACTCACGCCACGCTCCCGGCAGGCCCCGCCCCTCGGGCCCGGCCGGCGCGGCCCCCACGAATCGCGCCCGCACCCCCACTTCTCGCGAGACGCGAGCGCGCCTGGCCGGACGGGAGGAAAGGCTCCGCTCCGCTGAGGGGGGAGAGGAGGAGCTGAGGCAGAGAGTGGGACCGAGCGCGGGCGGGCGGGCGGCGCCGGAGCTGCCAGCGGGTGAGTCGTGTTCACGTTAGCGAGTCCACGGGCCGGCGGGCGCGCGCCCGTCCACGCTGGCCGGCCCCAGCGCCCCGGGCCGGGGTCTCCCCTCCCAGCCTGGGCTGGACGGGGGCGCTGAGGCGGTGGCCGGGCCTGTCGGAGGAAGAGGGTGGGGCGGAGGCTAAGGACAGCCAATAAGAGAGGAGGAGGCCACAATTGGCGGCCACGAGCGCCAATGGGAGATCGCCGTTACCGTGCGGGGTGCCGCCCCTTCTCTTCTCCCGCCTCCTTCCTCTTGGAGGAAGGCGGGGCCAGAGGACTGAAGTGTGGGGAGAAGTTGGGGTAAGTAGCCCCGGGGGGCGCAGGGCGTGGCGAGGAGAGGGGGTTGACTCCCGAGGGAAGCGAACTCCGGTGGAAGTCCGGTGGAGGGACCTTGGGATGGGAGGACGGGGAGGGCTGCTAAACTAGGCTCAGGACTCGAGATGTCCCAAAAAGTGGGGTTAGGGCTTGGCACCGTGATAGGCAGGAGGTAGGTTGGGGTGACATCGAGAGCCTGGCTCTGGTGAACGCGCGGGTTGTCCGCCCGAAAAGCACGTCCAGGTGGAGCCTCGGGAACGGGGGTCCTGGCGTCCCGATCGAGCTCGTAGGAATTAGCAGAGACGTGCTATCAGAAAGTGTGCGTTTGGGGAGATTAAGTTGCTGAGTTTGGGAACGGGGTGAGTGGGTTGCGTTGCTGGAAGGCGTCGCTTCGATAGTGGTCGGGAAGTCGGCGGGGGAAGAGGGTGGGTTCGGAGGAGAGACACGCTGACGGATACAGGTCTTTAGCCTGAAGGCGGCCGGGATAGGGCTTAGTCTTTTTTGGTGGATATGGCACCCACACTGGTGACCAGCCAGCCAAAACACTGGCATAGGGGTTGAGAAGAAGGAAAATAGGGCGCCGCTCCGATTTCCCCACCAGGATTCCTCCTTCCAAGTTTCCTTTACTTCAAAACACAGGGATGTGAGTCTGGGATTTGGGCGGGCCAAACTGGAGACCGTGGGGACTTGTGAGTTGCTCTGAAATGCTTGTTAGGTGCTCTCACCGGGGTGTTTACTGCCGAGGGCACCTCCTACCTAGATTCCCGGGTTACTGCTGTCCTGTGTTTTCTGCTTAGCAGAGGGTGTTTTCATATCTCTCAGGATTCGTATCAAGTACAGGTTTGTGCAGATGGGCAGTTGTTTTTTGTTTTTTGTTTTTGTTTGTTTTTTTTTTTCAGCAAACTCATTTGTTTCCTGTGTTTAAACTTTTTCAGCAGTATGATTTCTACATAAACTGTATAGATACACTAACAAAATAAAGTTTGTTTCTTTGTGACTTTTCCCTTTCAGTAAGAGTTATTTAATGGATGATTGAACTTAGTCTTAATTGTCTTGGATGTTTTCTTATTAATTGGGGCAAGGTCTCCTGTAGCCCAGGTACAACTTATATTGAGATAACTGAGGATGACCTTGAACTCCTGATCTTCACCCACCTTCCAAGTGCTAGGATTAGAGGTGTGTGCCACCACATCCAGTTTATGTGGTGCAAGGGACTGAATGCTCAGGGTTGTGTGCATGCTGGGCAAGCACAGCACCGTCTGACCTACAGGCTTAGCCCTGGAGTGAGTGAGTGTGTATGTGTCTGTGCCTGTCTCACCTGCTTGTGTTTTTTGCGGTGTGTCATGTAGCCCATGCTGGCTTTGAGCTCATAACCTTGCATTTCTGATCCTCATATCTCTACCTTCCAAGTGTTGGGATTACAACCTTTCACTCCCATGCCCAGTTTATCACTTTATGTGGTGCTGGGGCTTGAACTTGGGGCTCTGTGCTCATAGTTCAGGAAATTGAACTATGTTTTCTTTTGTGTCCAGACTTAGAAACTAAAGAACAATCATAATATTTTAGGACAAGGGTTGAGGAACTCAAACAGAATTTGTTTTTAAACATAGGGCATGTAAAGTAAGTGGAAGCTATTGCGAAACTTAACATGCCTGTAAGAAAAGAAGCTAAAGAAAAGCTTGGCAGCTATATGAAGTAGTCTTACCAGTTTGTTCTTAATTCTGTACAGAAAAGGGACAGGACATTTGTTTAGTAATTGTATATCATTTCATAATGAGTTAGACTTATACAGCTAAGCAATAACTTCTTTGCAATAATTTTCTTTGCATAGATTATAATCTTTCTGTCACCCCCCCCCCCCATGTGTGTGTGTTGTGGGGTTTGTGGTGGAGCTGGAGTTGGAACTTTCACCTGGCCTTGTGCACTCTACCATCGAGTTTTAACCCTGTCTCTTTTATTTTTGAGACTCGAAGTGCTACTAATGAAGAAAACCCAGGTCGCGTGGTTTTGTATTAACCCTTGTTTTTCAGCAACCGGTTGAGGTGTTTTCCCCTGGCTAGAAATTGTCCCTACAAAAACATTGAGAACAATCAAGTACTGACCTTTTAGAATTAACTCCTGAATTGGGTTCCAAAATCCAGAAGAATTTTTAGTTTTCTACTCAGTAGTCTTCCCCTCCCCTCGAAAAAAAATCCAGTGAGAGATCAAAGTCCTTTGTTTGATCTTCCAAACTAGGATTGGTGATGGCTTTAACTTGAACACTGTGTAGCCCTGGCTGCCCTGGAACTCACTCTGTAGACCAGGCGGCCTCCAACTCATGAGATCCTCGCCTGCCTCTGCCTACCAAGTGCTGGGATTAAAGGCATGTGCCACCGGGACCGGCTCTGGCAGTTATTTTTTCAGTCAACTCTCGTGCCACTCTTTTGCCTGGAGTCAAGTCCCTGGGTGGCTCTGCCTGAGCGCAGCGGCCCTGAAGCTCGGGAGTCGTTCTCTGCACGTTGAGACCGCTGGGCTCTGGTGGGAAGAGTCAGTGTTGCCACCATCTCCTATCAGGCCTGATAAGGGGGAGTCTTCCTTACAAGGAAATTTTAGGCGGGCCAAGTAGTACTGTCTTTCAAGTGTTTAATGAAGATAACTCTTTTTTTTTGGAACAGACTGGAATATAATTGCCCTTATTCCTTGATGAAGGTGCTGAAAGAGCATATTTTATTGCTATGAAAAAAGAAAAATGTTTGTTTTTTTAAATGTTAACGTCTTTTGTTTTTTTGATGTTCCTGTGATTTTGGAGTTCACGAAAAAGTTTTCCTCTGACTTTAAAATCTTGTGGAAGATGGGCTGGTGTGATAGCTCAGGGGTGGACGAAGCTGCTGCCTGCACTCAGTTCTCAGACCTCGCCTCCAGACAAGGCAGAGGGGAAAGCTGACTCCACGAAGTTGTCCCCTGGCCTTGGTGTGTGCTGTGATGCTGTGCCTTCACACAGTGCATCATAACAGGAATAGTAACAGTAACAAATACATATAAAACGTCAAGGCAACAGTGTTCTTGAAGAGTTATTTTCATTTTTAATAATTTTAAATTATTTATTTATTTTTATTCCATGTGCATTGGTGTTTGCCTACATGCACGGCTTTGTGAGGTGTTGGATCCTTTGAACTGGAGTTACAGTTGTGAGCTGCCATGTGGGCACTGGGAATTGAACTCAGGTTCTCTTAACTGCTAAGCCATCTCTCCCTCCCCAAAATAACAGTTTTTAAGCTGCTCTGATATGTTTATTTTTAAATGCTGCCTTCACCTTAATAGACTTGTTTGGTAGTAATTGTATTCATATCTGGAAATCCTTAACAGAGGATCTTTTTTATTTTAATTTTTGTGTGTGTACATGGTGCATGTTCGTGTGTGAGTGTGGTAGGGATGGGTACACAAAGGCCAGAGGAGGGCACTAGGTGTCCTGTCTTTCAGACTTTCTTTCCTGTTCCCTTAGACTGGGTCTGTCACTGAGCCTGGAGGTGGCAGTTGGCTAGGCTGAGTGGCCAGTGAGCTCCAGAAATCTGACTGTTTCCCCAGTGTGGGATTATGGAGTATCCCTCCAAGTGAGCCTTTTAAGTGGCTGCTGATGGTCCAAATGAAGGTCTTAGTGCTTGCTCAGCTAGGGTTTTGTCAGCCCAGCCCTCTGCCTTTAATCTTCCATTTTTCTTTTTTCTCTTTTTAATAGTTTGGCTTGACTATGTTTTCCTGGGGGTGGCATGTGTGTGGAGACCAGAGGACAATTCTGAGGAGTGAGCTCTCCTTGTCCCTTTGCATGGGCTCTGGGACTGGTCAGGTCGTCAGCTCTGTGCAGGTGATCCAGCATCAGTGGATCCGTCCTTCATGCTCTTGGCCTTTCATTGCTCACTTGTTGACTTTCCTGAGACAAGGTCTTGTGAAGCCTACTTAGCTGAAGATGTCCTCAAGATTGAGGGATTATTTATTGTATATAATTTATTTACTGATTGATTGCTTGATTGGGGCAGGGTCTTTCTAAATAGTCCTGGCTATTCTGGAGGTTAGTATGCAGACCAGGCTGGCCTTGAACTCTCAGAGATCCAATTGCTTTCTGAGTGCTGGGATTAAAGGCTTGAGCCACTGCACCAGACCCAAAGATGAGCTAAAACTTCTCCATGCTGAACTTATGTAGTGCTGGGGCTTTCTCCATGTCACCCAAGCACTCCAGCAACTGAACTACATCTGCATTCTTAAAGTCTAAGGTGTAGTTGATTCCCCTCTTCCCCAGTTTTGAGAATTGAACCAAGGGCCTCATGTATTAGGCAAATGCAAGCATTTTTCTCGAGCTATGTATATAGCCTTAGAGCTCTTGTAGTTGATTTTTAATTGTAAATGGAAAACTTTACATTTTTTTGTAGGTATTATCCTGCTGGTATGACTTTTTTAAAGCTGCATATATTTTAACTTCTTGACCATTGCTCATATTGTTAAGTTGTTGATGAATTTGATGAACATGATGACTTTATTTTTATTTTGGCTCACTGGTGAGATACGGGCGTAGGACTGTGTTAGGTAGTCAACCTCCTTTTTCTTCCCACTTTCTTCTCTTCCCTTTTTCCTTTTTCCTCTTTTCCCTTCTTGTTTGTCTCCCTCCCTTCTTTCCCTTTCTGACGCAGGTTGAATCCAGAGCCTCCTACATGGCAAGGGATTTACATCCCCAGCCCATGTCCTCTGTGTTCTGTGAAACATCAACAAGTGTCTGGTTACGGCTGGAGAGATGGCTCAGTGGTTAAGAGCACTGGATCCTGAGTTCAAGTCCCAGCAACCACATGGTGGCTCACAGCCATCTATAATGGGATCTGATGCACAGGTGTACATGCAGACAGAACACTGTAATAAATAAATCTTAAAAATAAAACATTCAACAACAACAAAATAAAATAAAGAAGTATCGTGTTGAAATCCAAATATGTTCTCTCTCAGACATTTCTGAAGGCCTGGCT